GGGCTCTTGACTTTGGGTTTAAGGGGAGAAAACATCAAATCTTGATCCAATTATCTTAAATATAATGAATGCATAAAAGAAAGAAAAGCCAATAGATTTCCTATAACAAATCAAGTTGGATTCCATGACAACTGCCATTGATCTCAGAAAAGTCTGCGTAAATAATTGGAGAAAATAATGCATAAATAGCTTTTATGCAAAAATAACTGGAGAACGTGTCCAGCACACAGAGAGATAAGTTGGTAAAACTTTACCTGTGTTATCTTGGATGGCTGGGAAACTCTCTTCACTGAAAAGGCTTCATACAGTCTGGAAAATCCTTTCCAGGTCATCCTTCTGATGATATCTGGGGTCTGAGAAATTACAGTCCATCTTCCTCCCCAAGCCTCAGTATCCCCACATATGGAATGAAGATAATCGCAGTTCCCACCTTGTGGTGGTGTTATAAGGATCATGTTAGCTGATATTTAGGAAGTATTAAAGCAATAGATTGTATTTTTAGATAAATTCTTAATGGCTGAATGCTGCTGTTATTTTCTTCTGAGTGCCAGTGATGTTCAGGTACATCCTTCAGGAATAGATCTTTTATTCAGTTCTGACTAAGAAACATGATAGTCAGGCACGTTGTTGCACACCTGTAATCCCAGCAGCTCAGAAGGCTGAGACAGGAAATCACAAGTTCAAAGCCAGCCTCAGCAAAAAGTGAGGCATTAAGCAACTCAGTGAGACCCAGTCTCTAAATAAAATACAAAATAGGGCTGGGGATGTGGTTCAGTGGTTGAGTGCCCCTGAATTCAATCCCCAGGACCAAAAAAGAGATGAAGAGAAACATGCTAGAGGGGTCTTGTGAAGTCAGTTGGACCAGAGTTTACATCCTGAGTTACCCAATAAACAGCTGAGTGTCTTCAGGGGATGACCCAACCTCCCTCATGCTTTGTTTTCTCATCTAAATAAGAACAGTAATACTATCTGTCTCAAAAGGCCAAAGAGAGAATTAAATGATGGAGTTTAAATAGGATTCAGTACTGGTCTGGTATCTAATAAGGGCCTGTAAGTGCTGTGAAGAATCTATTAAGCACATTTGTAGGTTTCACTGAAGAAAAAGCCAAAGGGCCTGTGCTCTTGGGGAGGCTGTATCCTATTATAGGGCAGAACACCGCTGTTTGAAAAGCCCTGCCAAAATTCCTCACTCCCCTGCCTGTTATGCAAGCGCCCTTGGCCCACAGAGTCCTAAGGGCCAGTCCACGGTGCAGTTTATATTTTTACAAATGCTGCTGATAGCTCTTTAGGCAAATGCATCTCTGACTTTAAACACAATGTTTTTTTGTGATGTTACTTTTTATTGATGAATAGTACCCTTCCCCCTCCTTCTCCTCCTCCTCCTTCTCCTCCTCCTCTTCCTCTTCTTCCTCTTCCTCCATCATCTTCTCCTTCCAAGATTGTTTCATTCCTTCAACAAGGGTGTACGGCCCACTCTGCAAGGCACCCAAGGGGCAGTCGCAGCCACTCTAAGGGGTTTAGTTCTGTGATCTAGAAACAGTAGGTGTTTAATAAATAATGGACCCACTGCTCTTAAAAAAAATAACAAAAAAAGATATTCTTCAAAAAGAAGTCAAGGAAGAAAGTGGAGTTGACAAAAATAAATCTAACGCATGTATTTTTTTTTCCTTCAGGAGGCTCAATATTAGGTAAATGAGCAAGAAGAGAGTGAGCCCTTGTGGAGGAAGGGGAGGAAGGAGGGGACACTCTGACCTACCACTGATGGAGGGCCAGGGGCTTTATGCATAGCCTCAATTAATCCTTCCAACTACCCTTGCAGGAGGCATTATTGGTTTCTCTATTCCCATTGAGCAATAGAGAAACCGAGGCTCCTGAAGTTCAGGTATCTTGCTCAGCTAGTTCAAATGTACTGTTTGTGACTTAAAGCTTGTGATAAGCCCAAATACTGCTTCCTGTACAGAGAGAAAACAGAAGAGGGCCTTAGCTGTAACCACCTCCTTGCTGACATGGAAATTTGCTTACACTCCCCACTTGAAAGCCAGGTTCCAACCTCCCCTAAGTGTGACCCCGCTTGGACTGCTTACTGGGACCTGCCCCCAGGCCACCATGCCCACTGGCCCTCATTGAGCCCCCCTTATGCTCTGACCCCATGCCTGGGCTGGCTCTACCACCCCCACCCCTCATTCTTGGCTTCCATACCCCTGTTTCTGCCCAAGGAGCTGGCATTGCCAAGCATGGCGAATTTCTCCATAGAAAGAGATGAACAACCAAGGCTTTGGCAGTCTCTGGATAGCACATCATTATTAACTCATCATACTGCCATTAATGGTAAGCAGAGTAATGTAGCTAGCAATTGCTGACCATTCAGTCTGGGCTTTCTAACCCTCACAGCATCCTGTGGACATATTCTGTACCATTACCATTCTTCTCTTATAAATGAAGAAACTGAGGTTTAGGAAGATCAATGAGGAGAAGGAGCTCAGCCTCATTAGCACTCCAGAAAATGCAAATTCAAACTCTAGTGAGATCCTTTTGACAGGTATCAGATTGGCAAAATCCTTGGAGAACCATTTGTCAGTGTGTAAGTAAGGCAAGATCCATCAGTTTTGCTCCTTGTACTGAATGTATAGACCCTAGAGAAACTCAAATTCATACCCACAGAAAGCTATGCCGAGATTCTTAGAACAGTGTTGTGATAGCCATGTCATTGAACAATCTGAAAGTTCATCCAACCAGGGAATGGGTAAGTAGTTTGTGGTATGATCGTAGGTGGAATATTCTTCAGCAATAAAATCAATAACTAGAATTAGACCCACCAAAACAAATAACTCCCAAGCATGTTGATAACACACACACAAAAGCAGAAACAAAAACAATATATACTATGCAATGTTTTAATAAGGTTTAATCACATTCAAAACAATGCTTAGGGTCAGGTATATGTATATTCAGGTATAAAAGATGTATGTGGAAATGAAACAGCAGACGGGGGCTGCTGGGTACCCAGGGCAAGGAATGGGAAATGAACAAAAGAGGAGAAAGTCTCCATTCTTAACTGGGAAAATTCAAAAGGGTGATTTATGGTAATTTTTTATCTTTTTGCAAGTTTCGATAATCTCATATTTTAATTTTAAAAGTTGCTCAAGGCCTCACATGTAGTGAACAGAGGATAGCATTTAAAGCCTGCACTTTTTATCTCCTCACGCTTCCTTGGAGGAAGTTCAGTGGAAGGTGAACATGGAGAAGAAATTCTACTTGTTCCATCCATCCTTTGTGCTGACCTCAAACATGCAATTGTTCAGGGACAGAGATCTTATTTTGTGCACCAGCAGCAGTCTTGAAAAATACGGCATTAAATATTGATAGCTTGAATCATGTTTTCCCATTGCCTTCTATTATTATTTAGAACTATGGTCTCAACAAAAGCACTGGCAACAAAACCAAATAAAAGGAACAAAGAGAGCCCCCCATTCATTTCGATTGGCTGTTGCAATGGAATCCTATAGCGATTTCATTCTCCCAAACATAGTTTTCAAAGAGACAATGATGACCCCAAGCTCTACATGCAGAATGCCCTTACACAAAAACCCTCCATGAAGTTTGTTCCTATTTTGTTGTGAGTTCTCACTAACTTCATCTGTGTCAATTTAAAAACTTGGCAGAAACTCTTACTCTTTTTCCTTTATTCAAAAATGAATAGGTATCCATTGAATGCCCATCGGTTGCTGGGCTCTCTGCTAGGTGCTGGGGAGCCAGGCAGACCTTGCCTGCATGAGTTTTCAGTTTCCTAAAGGAGACAGAGCAGTAAACCCAGTAACTGCTATTGTTCCTCAGCATATGTGGGGTATTGGTTCTGGGGTCCCCAAGATCCCTCAAATCTGAGGACGTTCAAGCCTCCCATATAAAATGGCAGAGTATATGCATACAACCTACACAGACTCTCCCTTATGGTTTAAATCATCTCTAGATTACTTGCAATATTCAATATAATGTAAAGACTATGTAAATAATTGTTACACTTTTTTTAGCAAATAATGACAAGAAAAAGTCTGTATGTGTTCAGTACAGATGTAATTTTTTAAGAAATATTTTTGATCCACAGTTAGTTGAGTCCATGTGGAACCCACGGATATAGAGTGCTAATTGTATGATGCACCAGATAAGGTACTATGACAGGGCCCACACTAGGCTCTGCTATGGAGGAGCATAAATAAGGCACATAACCCAGTCACCGGATCTTGGAAAGCCTCCCAGAGAGGATGACATTTTGTCTGAATGCTAAAGGCTGAGTGAGAATTTGCTTCTGAGTAAGAAAACAATTTAATCATTTCCTTTCAGAAGATTCAGTGATTCTATTGTAGAATTTCCATTGCCAGTCAAAGTGGAGAAGAAAAATAACCAATATTTTAAGGTATATTTTAACCTGAGGAAAAAAAAGAGCTGTAGTTTGAACCTAAAGATTTCTCTTGAGGTGTAGCTCTTCAACCTTTTTTATCATGCGCTCAAAACAAATGGCAGGTGAGTACAATTTCCCACTACCCTTGGTTAAACCCACATGAGCAAATACCCACCCCTGATTTAAGTGGGTGTTAGGGGAACCCACAAGAACTGCCTAATTACCCTGAGTTTACTCCATGTTTTAAACATCCCTCTTGACCTAGTTACCCAGGAGAAGCAGCTCTGATTCTCTGCAAACACAGAGGGATCATAGTACAGACCGGAAGTACATGGGAAAAAAGTGTCAACCCAGCATCTCTCAGCCTTGCTGATTCCATTGAATCCTTCAAATCCTCAAGTCATCAGTGTGATTGGATAATTGCCTTGGATTCACCCTAAGGTTGAGCACCTGATGTGATTACATACACTCTGTCAAGGGCCTGATTGTTGGGAGTCGCTGAAGCAGATGGCACACCGGAAATCACAGTCTTGAGTCAAAACCACCCCCACAGTCCCTGTTCCACTAGTTAGAAGGAGACACACATAATTCAGATAACAGAATATCAAATGAAGATCTCAACGTTTATTAATTCCAATAAAATGTAAAATCGCAGTGCAGTTTCAAAACAAATGTAGCCACTAAAATGAAAAAAAAAAAATCTGTTAAACAAGAAAGTGATGTTTTCAAATTCAAAGAAATCTAGTGCAAACAAAAATTTTAAAGCATCATCAATGAATTTTCAGACAGACTTTCCAACACAATAATATTCATTTATATCTTCAATCTTAGGCAACAACAATGGCATAGTAAGGAAGACAGCAATTGCTGTTGAAAGAAAATCAAAGAGGCCCAGAGCGATTATTTTTCCTAAAGGATCTTGGGGAGTTGAAATAAGGCCTGGGTCTCCACGGGCTGAGGACGTGTGGCTGTGAGGGGAGCACAGCATCCTTTCCTCTGATTTTACCTTTGAAGAGAATAAAAGCAACTAGTGTAGCATTCTCCCCCACAAAGAGAGGCAGAATTCAAGCTAACCCCAAGAAACACTCCAATCAAAGTAAACACTAAGCCCGCTCCTACAAATGCAGTTCATAGCATGTGATAGTTTTCAGTAGCATTTCCATCCCTTGCTAATCTTCTTCTGAATCTTTTAATACGATCTTATTGAATTGGAAGAATAATTTCAGTAATGTAGAAACAATAAAAACACTGAAACTTGGGGCTAGAAAAAGTTCAAGATTGACAACATGCACAGCATGTGGGACAGAGGGCTTGGTTATTCAAGGATTCATCATCCACATCCCTGCAGCCATGGGGGTTTTGTAGGGAAGCACAGCCTGCCAAAATATGACTATGTGCAATGCCTGAGCACATAGAAAACCAGACCTTTGTCAAGCAGAGCCCCTGATTAGCACAAACCTCTGGCCCTATCCATCAGGTCAACCCTAGGTTAAAGTCTCTTGCAGATTGGTACATGTTGAAGTATCTGAAAACATATCATGAAATAAATTTTTAAAAGTTTCAGAACCTAGTGAAATTACAAAACTGGAAAAATGCATTTATTTGATGAAGTCAGTAAAAGTGATGGTAGAGAGATTCTAAAATCATAACAAGGCCACTGTTGTTAAATAGGGATATGACAGAACAGGATTAGAAAACAATTAAGGAGAAAAAACATTGACAAGGATGTGATCACAGGTGCTCCAAGACAGAAACATATGTGTGTCAAAAAGAATGAGGGGCACCTGATGAAGCACTCAAACATCTTTTCAAAAATGATCGTGTCTATATTCCAAAAATTAAGCATGGAAAAAAGTGCATCAAATACTATCAAATAATTTTTCTGAAAATTACATTCCTGAAAACAACATTCATTTTTCATGCATTCTAAATTCTAGAACCCAGTGGAATTTACCATACAAAGATTCATTGTTCCATATAAAGTTGTAATTGGTTTATAAATTTTGACCATGAAATGATACTCCTTGTTGTAAGTAGTGCAGTAACAGGGCCCTCTGTATGCTTCCGACCCACTGCTTCTTACTTGTGGTAGATTCTCTGGGGAATGTTCCTTGCCATTACCCTCAAGACCTTCTTTAATCCCGAAGGCTCATCTCACTGTTCTACACCAACAGGTCTCTTATCAGTCTCTTCTTAGCTTAACTGTCCTTGCATTTTTCATCACTTTGAAGCCTTTGACCTTGGACTCTTCAAAGGCTTGTGAAGGGAGAGAGGCCAATTTCACATGCTGACATTTATATGCTGATTGTCACACAGGAATACTTTCTCCGCCCACTCTTCATTACTCACAGCACCAAATCAGGGGTGGTCCTGCTTCCTGGTCCCCACTGTGGAGTCTCTGGGTTTCAATTTGCTGACCTCTCCCTTATAGGGTTCTCGCTCCACCGGCACAGGTGTGCAAGTCTGAAAGAGAACATATTTCATTTCCCTCTTTTGGTTTATTGACTTCAAAGTTACAGACATGCTTCCTTTGTGAATTGTGAGAGCAAAACAGAATCTTGTGAACTTATCAGGTACCAGCCTCTTGCCCTCTCCTGGGGTTTCCTAGGACCCTTGGGTCTCTGGATTGTTCTTTCTTTGTCAGTGTTAATCTGTATCAGAGGAAGGCTCAGGGAATGTGCCATCTGGGCTTCTGCCACAGCTTCACCTCATCCAAGTCCCATCTCCTATAGTCCTTCCTTCCCGAGATTCCACCTTTTCTTCTAGTTTCAGTCCTAGCCATCTGTCCCTCTCCTAGGGCTGAGCATTTTGATCAATCACAGCAACTTGCTGGTGTGTGTTTCCTGGTCCTGTCTGCCTCTGTGTGTAACAGGCTTTCTGCAGAATCTCACCTCTTTGGTGGCCAATGACACAGCGGAACCCTCAGCTGGGTTCAGCTGGAGTTAATTTAGTGCTTGAACACAGTTTCAAAATCTGGACTTTATAAACAAAGGAATTCAGGAGAAGTAACTAAATCATGCTGTTTGTAAATATGTGCGCAACTTCTCTGACAAGTCAAGAGGCAGCGAATGTCAGTGATTAATGGCACCGGCTCTGGAACCAGATTGCCTGGGCAGTTACTCAGCACGGTGTTCCAGTTCCTGTAGCTGTGAACTGGGGCTAAAAACAGCACCTGCATTATAGGGTTGTTGTGAGGATTAAAATGTTGACAGGATTAAATATAAGAGAAACATTTGGAATAATGCCTGACACAGATAAGCTTTGGATCCGGAATGTCCCCCAAGGGTCATGTGTTGAAGGCCTGGTCCCCAAAGCAGCAGTGTTCAAAGGTAGGGCTTTTAGAAAGTGATTGGACCACGAGGGTTTTGGCCTCATCAATAGTCTAATCTATTGATAGATTCATAATTTGAATGTACTATTGGGCGGTGGTGCAAACAATAGGAGTTGGGACCTAGGTGAAGGCAGTAGGTCTTTAGGGACATATCATGTCCCCAGTTCTCCTGCCCCACTGCTGTCTCTCTGCTTCCCGGCTTCCATAAGGTGAGCAGCTTTGCTCCACTATGTCCTTCCACCATGATGTTCTGCCTCATCACAGAAACTGCCCAGAAACAATGGAGCCAGCTGACCATGGCTCTGAAACTGTGAGCCAAAACGAGTCTTCCCTTCTATAAGTTGTCTTTCTCATGTATTTTGTCTCAGTGACAGAAAGCTGACTGACACAAAGCTCTTAATAAATAATGTACACAAACACAAACACATAATAAGACATTATGGGTCTCATTTTGATCATCCAAACCAATATACTGAAGTTATCAACAATGTGGGCTTTGGAGTAAGATCTAAGTTTGAATTCTCCCTTTGCTATTAATTCATTGTAGGGAACTCACAAGTCATTTAATGCCTCTGAATTTACACGCTCATTCACAAAATTTGGTAAATAAAACTCATCCCTCAGATACTTGAGATACAAGCATTTCCTTCATTCAACGGATAATTACTGAGCGCCCACAGCCTCACCTATTTTTCCACAGAGAATACTACAAAGAGCAAGGTGGAGTGAGCTCCCACAGCCCTGGAACTTGCGGCACACACTGAGCACCAGGTCAAGCCTTGGTCCCCTTACTGTGTCTGCCCCGATGTTGGCTGGACCTCCATTTTGGCTCATTATCCACTCAACCATTGGCTTCACCTCAATCCTATTGGTATCTCAAGGTGCCTGGAAATAAAGTGCCAGCTTCCCACTTCTGCCACCTAGTCCTGGACACTGAGGTCACCGAGAGCCAAGGCACATCTGAAACCTTAAACTTACCTAACCCTAACCCACCACTTTCTTTCTCTTTGCCTAGTGCTTCTTTCTCTCCTGCCTTTACTTCCTAAGCTACACTTCATGGTATATCCCTTCAACCTAGAGTGACCATAGAATTTATCATCCAAAGAAGGACTGAGAGTGGAAAGGCTACCTAACATCATTAACAAGCATGATCCAGGACCATGCCAGGAAACCAAGATTTCTTTTCACCTTCCTTCAACACCCTCTTGCCTACCACCTAGAGGGTCTTGCCTTTCTCTCTTCCTCTTGGTATTTACACTCGATACCCATGGTTTATTTCATTTCAGTCATCAGACTTTCTGCATGGTGTACCCCTGGGCAGATATTTGTGCCACCTACTCTGTGCTGTGGGCCCCTCCTCAACTCCAGCTCCGTCTCCCTCTTTGTACAGCAGCTCCTGAAGCTCTCCTACTTGAAGTTTTCAGTTGCTGCTTTTCTGTCTGTCTTGGGCTCACTGGGATTGGACTGTGACACCAGTGGTTCAGGTGGAGCCATCTAGTGTAGGCCTGTCCTCATTTAGGGGCAGGTCTGTTCTATAATCTGGTCAGTCCCTTAGAGGATTGCTTCCCCTGACCTTAAATCTGCAAGCCCCAGGATAGTGCATGTCCCTAACCAGGCAAATAAGAATCCTTCCTAAAATCTTTGTGTCAGGGCCAGGGCTTGGCAAGGGCTGGGATGCCCACTATCCTTGTTACCTAAGTATCTCTGACTTTGCTTTTATACCTCAGCCCAGGTAGTCATCAGACTAGTAAGCCCTCTCTGTCACATCCACTAGCTTGCATACTATAATTTTCTATAATGATTTATTTACCTTTCTGTCTCCCCCAGGAGACAGGGGGCCAATGTTTTGCTCTATTCTTCCATAATATGTCTCCAATAAATATGGGTGGAAGGGTTTTTGGAGGGGACGATGGTGGAACCAGTGTTCAATGCTCAGTTAAGCTTTCTTTCTTCTGTGCCTGAGGAGTCCTGGCCTGGGCTGGCTCAGTTTCCCTCTCACTCCTTTGTTGTGCTTCACTGTGTACCTGCTTTCTAGGCTTTACTCTCTTGCTGGCCAGAAAAGCCTTGTGGAAAGGTCTCAGGTCACTTGGTTTTCTAAGAACTGCTTTTTGGCTGCCCAGTCACTGCCCTGATAATGCCATCAAGCAGCATGCAGCCTGGCTGGTCCCCAGGTGACACTGATCATCATATGTCTGTGACCTGATTGATCTTATCTGCATAGTTTCACTGTTCATCTGCTTCTGAGGCTCCAGGTGGGAACAGTCATCCTTCCAGAATGACCTTAAGGTGTGACCATGCCTGCCTGTGCCTGCTGCCACCTCAGAAACAAACCAATCTTCTCTCAGTAGTCTTTTGTTGTTCCACATTACACAATATTTCACTTTAATAGATATTTTTTTAATCTATTAAAAAAGACAACTTAGGTTCCATTCTTATGGCTCCAAGCAATTTCAACCTTTTACTATTTTCTTCTCCTTAGGGGTGGGCTGCATAGGCCCTGTATTGACTAGATGTGCATCTTATTCCTCTCTGCACCGTCTCTTGCCTCAGGCATGGCACTCTCTATATATTTTAGAACCTCAATATATATCCACTGTGACAAAATGGAAAAGTGGTGGTAGTCACTCTGCAGAATCTTAAACCATCACTACCGTTGTTCAGAAGCTCAGTTGCACATTTGTTTTCTAGGTAGACCTAACCCACCACTCTTAGGAAAGCTAGTCTTAATACTTCTGTCTAGTGACAATGCCAACTTCTGTCTACTGAAGTGGCAACTCTCTATCTGAAGTGTGCAGTACCTGGCTTGATATGGACCCTGGTCTATGGTGCAACCAGTGTTCAATTCTCAGAAACTACTAGTGATAGGGTTAAAAATAAAATGGGTTTCTTTTCCTGGTATCTCAGATGAGTAGAGTGGTCATGTATACTGCAGCCCCATTAGAGGCTGAAAGCACAGCTAATCCTTAGAGGACTTTTATGCAGCATAAAATACTCAAGAGAGATCAGAACAAAGAATTTGAGTGGTATGGGTTGAACAAAGGAAGCAGGTTTCTTCTCTTGCCTTGTGAGTCTCCCTGTTTTCCTGATGATCTTCCTGACTCTCTGGGCAGCTATCTCAGGCTCCTTTTCTGATTTCTTTTCTCCTCAATCTCTGAAGGTTGGAGGACCGAGATCTCTATCTTAAGCCTCCTTTCTAGCACAGCCTCCCTGATGGCTCCAGACTTGTGGTTTTAAATCTATGTGCCATGACTCCCAAATTTATCTCCAGCCTTGATCTCTCCTCATGTTCAGATTCCTCTATTCAAGTGGCCAACTGACTACCGTGAAGAAGTATAAAAGTGTGTCAAGCAGAACTAGGATTTAAGCACAAGGAACCCAGAGCTGGAACAAGTAGAAGATAAACCCTTTGGGATTGGGGCTGCTGTCTGATTGATGCTGGTATCACTAGCCCCCAGATGGTGCCTGGTGCTGGATGAATGTTTGTTAAATGAAGTGAGACTGCTTGAATGTAGGATTCCTCAGAATTTTTCATATACTGCTGGACAACAGAATCACTGGAAGGTAACATTACTGACAATTATTTGGCAACTTGTGCAAGGAGCATCTCAAGACACTAAAATGCCCTGAGAACATATATTTGAGGATAATCTGAGTTGCATAATTTTCCCCCAATACTTGCTGGTCAAGATTAGATCAGTGGCAGCAATGGTTTCCATCTTGATGGTCTTACAATCAAGTAAAATGGCTCAAAGGTATAGCCCTGAGAGGGGCTATCCTGGGTGATACAGAGCACAGATGCATCTCACAGGACAGGATGCTGATGAGTCACTTTAACAGAGAGTTCAATTTGAGTTCATAAGATTTAATGACAATTGTCACTGTGACAAGTTAATAGAAAGACAAAAATGAGAATTACATCATATGCGGTATAAACATTAATTGCAATCATCATTATATTTGCATAATTGCAGAAATGCTTTTTGGTTAAGCTGATCAGGGGAAGAGGAAGCTCTGAATTGATGAAGATTTTAACTATATTGTCTGCCAAGAATGGAGTGCCGGGATGTTAGATTTTCTGAAACCAGAGAGATCAGTAAAGAATAGTTCTCAGGCCCCAAGACAGTTACGGATG